CTCCCTTTGCTCTCTCTCCCTTCTTGTATGGGATTCTGGATGAAGTCAGGCTTGGAAGAGGTAGAGCACTCTTTTAGTGTGAACAGGAGTGACAAGCCAGTCGAAGAAAACTTACATGTACTAAGGATTCCAAAGTGGAGTTTTAAAGGGCTCTTATACCATTATTAAACTATGCCAGCTTGAATGCTTTGACAAGTTGAGGGAGACATGTGAATCTCTATAAGTTCTTTAAGCCTCTACTATTTTCTGTTATTTGTAGCCAAATATGTTCCTAATTGTTATAGAGGACCTATATGATCTCACCCTCGCCCATTTTTCTGACCCTATCACTGTACTTTAGCCATATCAACTAGCAGACAAATCTCTGCTCAAATCCGAACTCCTTACTTAGGACTTAGAGGCTCCATGTGATCTGGTTTTACTGAACTCCCCTAATGTGCTACTGCCCTTTCCATTCCCAAAGCAACAAAACATTAAAATATCCAATAATACTTGATAATAAATATGTGCAAGATGTTAATAAAGATAAACACAAAATAGAAGAACTTAACAGACCAGAATTGAAGGAGTGGTATATCATATAAATAGATTAGAAAACTCAATATTGTTAATTTGTCAACTTTCCAGGATTAATTTGAAGTAATGAGTTTTTATAAACAATTTCTAGCATTTTCTTCCTGGCCCTTTAAGATATTCATATGAACATCAAAGAGCAATAATAGTCAAGGTAATTTTTTAAGGGTAACAAAGTAGATTGACCTTCCCCTATCCAACATATAGACTTATTTTCAAGTTAAACTATTAAACAGACTTACAGAAAATTAGATCTCTAATTTAGAGATCTAAATTAGATCTCCAACTCACATTACACTTAGAAGTAGATTCAACATCTCAATGTGAAAAGCAAAATTATACAAATAATCTAGAAGGGAATGTTGCAATAGGAAAGATGTCTTAAAGATCATGTAGGAAGCACAAACATAGTAGGGGAAGATTGATAAATTTTACTCTGGTTAAAGTTTAAAACTTGTATGAAATAAAAAAACATTGTAAACAGTTTAAAGACAAGCCATAAATGGAGAGAGGATATTTATAATGCATACTAGAGGCCTGATGCACGAAATTTGTGCAGGTCCCTAGGCCTGGCCTCCAATCAGGGCTGATCTTCCCTAGCAGTCTGGACCCCAGCACTGCCTATGCCCATCACCACCCCTAATCCCCCCCCTTCCTTGTTCCCCATTCCCCATCAGGTGATCAGAGCCTGCCAGCCAGGGGGAGGGACTGATTGGGTGACAATAAGAAAAAGACAAACAGAAAATTGGGTCAAGACAACAAACCAGTACTTAATAGATGAAACTTGAATGGTTAGTAAACATATGAACATATGGTGCACCATGAAAATGATTATATCAGTTCGCATGGGTTCAGCTATAAGTATCGAAAAATTCAGCTAACAGAAACTTAAAGCCTAAGGACATTTTTTTTCCTCCTTGACAAGTTTAGAAGTAGGAATTCAAGAGTTGGTTCAGCATTCTGTGAGCACAGTAGGGTTACTTGCCAGCATTTTTATAGCAGCTCCAATCTCATAACCTTCTATGAGAATTTTTTAAAGTAGAGAGGAAAGAGAAGAAAGGGACCTTCATCCTCCATACACACCTTTTAGTGGGGGAGAGAAATCATTCCATAAGCTTCTAGATTTTTCCTTCTGTCTCATTGCCAGTTTCTGACAGAGGGGAATGAATCACCCTTAAAGCTTAGAGTAATCAGGATTCACTCCCTGAACTGGGGAAAGGTTTACATTTTCTGGCCATATTACTTGCTGTCTAATACCTGAGGAAAATTGAATTTTTCTTTGCCAGCAAGAAGAGAAGAGATTTGCCATAATTATTAGCCTCTCATTAATATAGGTTGAACCAAACAATATTGATGACATAATATGAATATGTAATATATTCTAGTAATATGAAATGTGGAGTATTTAATGTACAAATATATTAATATGAAATACATGGAAATACATAAATATAATTAAGGAATATCTATAAATACATAAACTTATGCGTTTAATAACATGAAAAATATAAACAATGCAGGGGTGTAACAAACATTGACTTATGTAATGGTATCTCTAGAGGAAAAAAAGTTGATGACTAGGATTAAGAAAGATTTCAATTGTATTATTTAATTTTCAAAAGTAAAATGCAAACATCTGAACCAAAAATGTAAATAGCATTTGTATTTTCTTGCCTTTCTTCTTTAAATCTTATAAATTATTATTATATTAATGTATACAGAGTAGGGAAATGAGTATTCTCAAGCATTTCAAATGAAAATGAAAATTAATAGACTGAATTAGAGGACAGTTTTGGATATAGAAAGAAATCTGGAAGTTTAATCATCAAAATGCTCATGATAATTATCTGGATGGTGACATTACAGGTGATTTTCCTTTATGAAAACTTGGTGTTTTGTTTATGTACTTTAAAGTATATCTGATATTATCATAGTCAGAAAAACCTTTAAATCTGTTTTCTTTTTATAAATTAAAAATATAAAATTAAAAGTTGCTTACTATTTTGGTCTACTTATGAAGTAAGTAAACATGTATATTCGTGTAGTCAGCAAATATATTATTGAGTGCATATCAGGCACTATTCTAGGTGCTGGAGATACAAACAACTCATAAGACAGTGAAGGGTAGGTACCTCTTTTCATGGAACATCTTGATTTGGGAGAGACATTAAACAAATATATGAACAAGGTACTTTCAGGTCGTAATTAAGTACAGAAGGAAAGTAAAACTGACTGATATTGAAAACAGTGATGGAAGAGTGTTTATGAGCGTGAGTGACCTTAAATTCGGTGGTCAGCCAAAATTGCTTATTTCTGAGTTGTTTATCTGAGCTGAGAACTGCATGACAGAAGGAGCTAGGCATGTGAAGATCTGGATTCCAGGGCTTCAGGCAGAGCAGATAGCAAGTGCAAAGTCCCTTCGGCTGAAAGGAGTTTGTCATATTCAGGGAATAAAAAGTGAGTGAGTGAAGCTTAATGAGAGATAGGGGAGATGAGAAAGGCCAGCTCACAGAAAGCCTTGTAGGTCATAAGGAATTTGTATTCATATTTTATTATTTGTGTTATGGGAACCCATTGCAGGATTTCAAGCAGGGAAGTGACTGATCTATGCCTTGAAAAGATCACTCTGCCTACTCTGTAAGGATGAATTGTAGGACAGCAGATGTGATAGCAGAGACCAGTTAGAAGGCTATATGCTGAAGTTTAGACAAAAGATTATGGGAGCTGAAACCGGTTTGGCTCATTGGATAGAGCGTCGGCCTGCGGACTGGAAGGTCCCCCGGTTCGATTCCGGTCAGGGGCATTTACCTTGGTTGGGGGCACATCCCCAGTAGGGGGTGTGCAAGAGGCAGCTGATCTTCTCTCTCATCGATGTTTCTAACTCTCTATCCCTCTCTCTTCCTCTCTGTAAAAAATCAATAAAATATATATATATATATTTTTTAAAAAGAGATTATGGGACTTGAAGCTGGTTGCTCTGGGGAGTAAACAGACTTGAGATATGTTTGGAAGTACTGTTCATGACGTCAGAACTCAAAGAATTCCTCCACAATAAAATGAGGATAATGGTATCTCACAAGGTGTTTCCACAAGGAACTAATGCATGTTGAGCATTTATCATACTTCATGACACACATAAGATTAGTGTGTAATTTCTGTACTTACCATTATTATTTGTATTGTAATAGCATGGAGGTAGTCATACCTAGTAAACAAAAACCTAATCAAATTTAAAGTAGGAAAGAAAGAATCATTAATAAATGTATTAGTAGTAAAGATAAAATACTAATATTTGAAGGTTTTTAAATCCATTGCATTGTAGCTTGTAATTTCATCACCATAATACAATTATTTTAAAATTGTCATTGGCGCCGAAACCGGTTTGGCTCAGTGGTAGAGCGTCGGTCTGCAGACTGAAAGGTCCTGGGTTTGATTCAGGTCAAGGGCATGTACTACATTGGTTGCGGGCACATCCCCAGTGGGGGGTGTTGCAGGAGGCGGCTGGTCGATGTTTCTCTCTCATCAACGTTTCTGGCTCTCTATCTCTCTTCCTTCCTCTCTGTAAAAAGTCAATAAAATGTATTAAAAAATAAAATAAAATAAAATAAAATTGTCATTGGCTATTTTTCCCATTGTCTATTGATCTAATTAAAATCCTTATCATGTTGGACATTGCATAATGTTGGTGCCCTTTGACTTCCATAAACTTGTACTTTCACAGTATGTTTTACCTTTCTCAGTGTTTATCTAGTCCCATTCTGCTGCAGATCTTTTCTGGTTAAAAGTTGTGATACTTCATATCAGTGTTCTGGTTCTGCATTTTCAAATGTCTGTATTTCTACTTGTTTGTCATATTGTTTCCTCCGACTCAGTAAACCCAAGCTTGAATTGTTTCACTTAACCACCCATTTCATTTAGTTTGGCCACCAATCCCAAGAGTAAATGTTTTGGCATTATCTTTTATTGTTACTTTTTAAATAACTTGTCAACAAACCATCACCACATATTTCTAGTATCCATACATTTTTTCCCAATTTCCCTAGTGTTATGTTGAGTGTTTGATTTGGTTGTCAGCAGTGTTTAAATAACCATTATCTCTTAAAATATAGTTATACATTTGATTTTGTCTTGTGAAGCATGAGGGGAAAGTGAATGCCTCAGACAGGAATCATGTGCTGCCCAGCACACAGAGATATTGAAAAAATGTTCTTTTAATAAACTGTCCAAATACTAAAGGAAGAGCTTTCTTATTAGTTCTAAGTTTTCTGAGATGAAAGAATCCATTTGAATATTAGCCTTTTATTTTTTACTCTTTTATTATAGAATATAGTACTTCAGTTCTTGTTTGTTGATATTGTTAAAGGAATTCTAATGGTTCTTTTTACAAAATTGATTTAATGTAAGATATTTTCCCTCTTTATTTTTAGGTTTTGGAAGGAAGGATGTCGTAGAACACTTGCTGCAGATGGGTGCTAATGTCCATGCTCGTGATGATGGAGGTCTCATCCCACTTCATAATGCCTGTTCTTTTGGCCATGCTGAGGTTGTGAGTCTGTTACTGTGCCAAGGAGCCGATCCAAATGCCAGGGATAACTGGAACTATACCCCTCTGCATGAAGCTGCTATTAAAGGGAAAATCGATGTATGCATTGGTAAGTATTATTTGTTGTTATCTAAGTTATAAGATCAACCTGACAGGTATAACATTTTAAATAAAGCTTTCTGTTCTCTCCTGTTTCTTATTGTGATGGAAATAGTATTTCCTTAGAATTAGTAGAGTGGGCTTTATTACTTCTTATTCTTAAAGGCGATTATTTTCCATCAAAAGAGAAGTAAAGAGACAGCAATGTAAAGTTGGTTAAGAACCAGATTCACAACATGAACCCTCCAAATGCAAGTCAAATGTTAACTGGTATGGAACTCAATTTTGATAGATTACTGTTATCAAATTTAGTTAATTTACGGTCTCTTTAAAAGACTGCTAATTTTCTATCCTTGCAACAATGAGAGCCATTATAAAGTACAAATTCTTACTGAATTGGATGACATATTTGGATGCTTTAGCTTGATTCAAGGAACATTATCAAAGCTTTTCTCTTTATGTTGCTGAAATTGAACACCACCTATTTTATTAGGACTGGAATGCTTTGAGTGAGTAATTCAAATATAGTAATTCAAAGCTTAATATTTTCAACATGTGCCATAGTCTAGAAGAAAACCAATTTCGAACAAAATTGAACTTTTCAACCATTTTAAGTATTGAGATTATATAAAATTGTATTTAATCAGCATTTCTTTCTCATATATATATGTAATACATATATATTTATATATATGTAATATATATACACATATACTTTAGATTTTGCTTCAGTGTATAATATTTTTCATTTTAAAATCTAAAACAAGCTTCTGGAGGAGAAGTCTAGTTTCTTTTGTGTGTATCATCTGTTTCTTCATATTTAAGACAGTGATGTTTGTTTAACCCATGGCTAGTTGGTTTATATAATTGTTGTCTTCCTGGATGGCATCCATTTCAGTTTAATTAGTTATATTTATGATAAAACAAATGTATGTCATTTAAAAATATTTTTATTGATTTCAGAGAGGAAAGGAGAGGGAAGTGAAAAGAGATATAGAATCACCAATAATGAGAAAAATCATTGAACGGCTGCCTCCTGTACACCACCACTGGGGGTCGAGCCCATAATCTGGACATGTGCCCTGGCCAGAATTGAACTATGATCTCTTGGTTCATGGGTTGATGCTCAACCACTGAGCCATGCTGGCTTAATTTATTTTCTGAGATTGGTCCTCCACCCTCCTGCCATTTCTGTTTAGGTAGACACAATTGGTTTCTGATATTCTCAAATGAATAGACTAATGTAGAGATCTTGAGAAGGTAGGTAAATAAAAGTTATATACAGGACCTTTAAACTAACAAAGACATCTCTTGAATCTTGATGTAAAAATTCCTACTGCCTTCACACTATTTACATGTTTACCTACTTCCATCTCTCCTTATAGTCTGTGATTCTCCAGTGAGAAGGGGACAGAGCATGTTCCCTTTGGGTTCCTCTGCAGGGAATGGAGAGCTTACTGGCTTCCACAGCAAACAGTCCTAAAGATAATAGAGGAGCATAGTCTTCCAACACTTATGGGATTTTTAGTATTTGGAATACTCCAATATCTAGATTTGAAGCCCAGAAAGCCTAATGAAAAATAGCAACCTTTCTCCAAAGAGGGGAAGATGGAATGAACAATCAGAATACATATCCAGGACTGCTTAAGGGGTCAGATAAACACCTAAATGAAAAGTTAAAAATAAAAAGAGCCCTCTGGGAAAAGAAAGTGTAGTATGAAACAAACTTCCTGGCACCAAAAAAACCTCTATTTTTTTTTTTAAATAGAAAATTCAATAGATAAGTTAAAGAAAAACCATGTTGGTTGTCTGGAAGATCATTTGTGAGACATGTCCCCCAATACAGAGCAAAATGTTAGCATATGGAAATCATAAAGGAAGAAATAAGTAAACCCAAAAAGTCAACATTATTTTAAAACCTTACATGTGTATAAGAGTTCCATAAGCCAGGGTGGGCGTGGGGGGGGGGGGGGGGGAGAAGAAAAAACTGACGTAGAGATTAATAATAATTAAGTGATAAGCAGAGAAAAACTTAGGTCTTGAGTTTGAAAAGACTTACGGAGTTTCATGATGTATTGATGAGAAGAAACTTGGAGGAAGATGTGTGAACTTTTCCCTGTATAAAGAATAAGTTGCCTACAAAGGGGAAAAAAGGAGATAAAAGACTCTATTAACAACTTTGAAAGCTTGAAGACAGTGGAATGCTTTCTAAAAAGGATGGAAGAAAAGGATTAAACTATAATTCTCTTGATAAAGAACAGTGCTTTAGCTTTTGGGGAGTAAGAAAGACTGAATAGAGCAAGTGACATTATTTTAGAGAAATAAAGTTCCTGCCACTTGCTTTCTTTTTCTTTCTCTTTACTTTCAAATAATTCTTGGGAGCCCAAAATTCAAACTGCTACTTATTATAAAATCTAATAATTAGAACTTTTAAAAAATAGCTTTATTTTCCACACTCAGTGGCATTAAGTTAAATAGACCTGGGTCTTTGAGCAAATTACTTACTCGCTTAACTATTAAAATGGGGGGTAATAACTACTTCATGTAGATATTAAGAAGTTTAAATGAAGAGAATGCAAGTAAAGCACCTTAATATAATATCTGTGTAGACAGTACTGTCATAATTTCTTACCCTACCCTGGTTGTGTGGTTTCTCTAACCATATCTCATTTTACTATGTTTCATTGTAATTCGTAACACTTATTACCTGAAATTATATATTTGTTTAGTTATATATTTATTTGCTCGTTTTCATTTCTCTGGGTACTCTTTTCCACTCTGTGCCTGAATTAGAAACACAGGAACCTTGTCTAGCTTATCTTGCACTGTATCCCCACTGTAATATCCTCAGAGTGAAATGTGTATTCCTCATGGTGGTTTTCTTTTGCATTTTCCTGATTAGTATATTGCTGAACATCTTTTCATGTGCTAGTTGTGGCTATTGGTACACATTTTTTGGAGAAATATCTACTTACATCCTCTGTCCATTTTTTAAATTGGATTGTCTTTTTGTTATTGAGTTGTAAGAGTTTTAAAAATATATTCTAGATATGTTTCGTACCAGATAAATGATTTGCAAATATTTTCTTCCACTCTGTGTTGTCTTCTCACTACTTGATAATTGACTTTGAAGCAAAAAAATTTTTAGTTGGTGATTTGATTAATAGTCAAGTCTGCTTTTTACTTGTTTGTTTGTGCTTGGTGTCACAAGTTTAAGAATCCATTGTCAACAAGTTGAATAATCCAATCCCGTAGGGTATAAAGATTTAACCCTATATTTTTTTTTCTAAGAGATTATAGTTTTAGCTCTACTTTTAGGTCTTTATTTATATGGAGTTAATATTTGTATATGATGTGAGATACAGGGTCCAACTTCATTCTTTTGCATGTGCCTACCCAGTTTTTCCATACAGTTCATAACATTCCTTTATAAAATTTTTTATTTCTGTAAGCTTGGTAGTAATGCACCCCTTTCATGTGTGATTCTAGTTACTTGAGTCTTATTTTTTTCTAGGTCTGTTTAAGCTAAAAGTTTATTAGTATATATTATTCATTGGTTTATAGGGCTTGGTGTGAACATATTGTTTCATTTCTTGAGTCGATGCCTAAGAATGGAATTGTTGAATGGAATGATAAGTGTATATTAAACTTAATAACTATTGGTCATTTGTGTATATTCTTTGGGTGGTCTCAGTTGAAATTTTTTTTTACCTTTTGGGGTATTATTGTTGACTTGTGAGGGCTCTTTTGTGTTATGGACATGAACTTAATTAGATATGTGTATTCTAAATACTTTCTCCCAGTCAGTACTTTGATTTTCGTTTTCTTAGTGGTATCTTTAGACAAGCAAAGGATTTTATTTTTGGTAAAATCCAATTTGTCAGTTAAATACAAATATATTTAGTGTCTCACTAGCATTGGAATAATAAAGTAAGATTTTTATTAGACAGTTATTTTTAGGTTAAAAAGTTTCTAGTGAAATAAGATTATAGTTTTAATTACATTGTGGAAATGAGAAAGCAGTTTTTTTGGTTCAAGGGTCTCTGAAGTGCTTTATAACAACTTGTTTAGGATATATGTTTTTAATTAAAATGAAAGAATAAGCTATTTCATAATGAAAAATTGAACGTGTTATGTAACTTATATTTAAGATTTAAGACTAAAGTCAAATATATCTTGTTTAATTAGGAAATAATTACCTAAAATGCACAGTTATTTCTGAGATAACATTGTTTGCCCCTCCTATTTTTGGAAGTATATTTTTAGCATTTGGTAAATATATTATTTTTAATAGCTTCTTGCCTGAATCATTCCATAAAGGAGCACTCATTAATTCCCAAATGTTAAACATGTGTTTTTTTGTTTGTTTTGTTTTGTTTGTTTTTTTTGTGTGTGTGTATGTGTGTTTTATTTGTTTATTTATGCTTTCCCTCTGCTTTCTGAGATCAAAAGACACATAGATGTTCTTTGAGCTATTTCTTCATGTCATTGACTTTGGTAGAATTCTCATAGCTTTTCATATTCCCATAGGATTGAGACAGGAAATCTAAACAGTTTAAAGTATTAAGGACCACTCTTTAAAAAAAAAATGTTTTTATTGATTTCAGAGAAAGGAAGGAAGAAATAGAAACATTAAAGATCAGAGGGAATCATTATAGAATGTCTCCTGCATGCCCCCTTCTAGGGATCATGCAGAAACCCAGGCAATGCCCTGAATGGGAATGGAACCAGGACTTCTTGGTCCATGGGTAAATGCTCAACAATGAAGTCACACCACATGGGCAAGGACTAGTCTTTTTAGCTCTAGAAATATAATAGTCGTTTGTCCACTGAATATATTTACTTCCCTTTTTCCTCCTAACAAATATGTAACTTCTGAGCAGAAGTGTTAAGAATAAGAGGACGGTTTAACATAGTTTTTTTTTTTTGTTTTGTTTTTTTTATCTTGGTTATTTAGGGTATCACATTTTAACACAAAGCCCTCTGCAGTGTCTGAGCCTCTGAGTAAGG